GAAATTTATGTTGTCTAACTCAGTTTTTGATGCTGATGCCGAATATGACATTTGTTTTGCTTGAAAATGAATGTTTAATGGTTAAATGATCGAGGGTTTTTGGCTTGTCCTATACTTTTACATGGGAAAGATGTACTTTTTCTCTCCTTTCTCTTTCAAATTACGACCTGACGTGATGTTTTTTTCTGAAATTTTTTATATGTATTCTATAGAACGCAAAATTCTCTACAAGATACACTATATTAGATTTTCCTATTCGACTTCTATAGTCCCGAAAAATGGTTTGCAATGAAAAAAATCTCGTTCTGAAAAACCTGGTTGCTTTGAAAAATTTAGTTTTTTCCCTATCAAGATTTCACTTTTTGGAAGTCTTTTAAGAGACTTTTTTGTTCAGTTTGATGAGTTCTTTCGAATGAGAATTGGCGCAATAACAATGGATCAAAAATGACGAAGTTATAGGCAAAAGACTGAAAAATATCGAAAATCATGTTTTTCTTGAGATTTTTAGACCCCGCGCTTGTTGTCAAGCCTATAACTCCATGAAGAAAGGTCCTAAATGTCGAAAAAAATTTTCATAACCTTACTTTTTTTCAAGGAATCGAATGAGATATAAAAAAAGAAACTTTTTTTTTGACCATGTGCCAGCCCTTTGGAGCGATGCTCGATATTCTCACGAAGCCTCTCTTAAAAAATTCGAAGCAATAACAAATTTCTGGTGTGATCTGCTGGTGTCCTACTTACCTGTATCAGATGTTTATCAAGGAATATGTCAATGTCTTACAAACACTTGCCTTTATTAAGACGCTGTCTACAAATTAATAAAAAATGAGAGAATATTTCAAGTAAAAGTCTAAATAAAAAGAACAATATTAGTCGGCCGGTTACTCTTTATTATTGCTTTAGTTGTAGAAAAAAAGGAGATAGTTTTCATTGGAACTCGTAGTAAGTGTCGATCTCTTTCAGCGTTAAACACAACAACAATAGAATGTTTTTATTTCAGACTAAGCGAACTAGTTTACTCCCATTTGCAAAAATTTTTATTATAAAAAATCATGAAATCTATACTTGGGTGGATATGACAAATCGAAAAAAAATACTATTCATATGTCATAGAAAAATTTTTAGATTGAATCTATCTCTCTCGAGCAGAAATCATATTGCGTTTAATAATAATGTTGAATGCTTACTTATTATTTTCAATCTGTGTTTTATCTATTGAATAAATGATGAAGCACAAGCTCGCTGTAAGCTTGTTATTATTGATTTTTTTTGTGACATGTTAAGAAAAGAAAATAGTGAAAGCTGTTATTGTTTGGATAATTTCTGGGCGAACTAACTATTCAACAAAATCTATCAGCAAACTGCGCAACTGATTTTTAGGTGAAATATCTTCTGAACAATCGATTGTATCACTTCAAACAGCTGAATGTACGAAAAACTCATTGTTGACAAAATTTTTCAATGCTACATTGGCTTGCTAATCGAATGTTCCTATGATGAATAATCATGTGACACGATTATGGCTCCAATTTTGTCAGAATTAGACGAAAACTGATTTTGGGTGTGAGTCTAAGTGTGGATGTGATCTATTTTTCACCCATACCCCTTTTAAAATTCGTTTGCAGAACACGCATATTGCCATATGTTTCACAATTCATAGTTAGTTGCTTCTTGTTGATCAATTATACAGTTTTTTGTTACACGTAACTAGACATGTGCACATGTATAATTTGTATATTTTTTTGAAAGTGTAAATGTAAAAAAAACATATTATCACTATCGTCCTAATAACGTCGAAGATGCAAAGAAAGGTAGAAAATAAACGATAGAGAGGATTAATATAGTAAACGAACATAATGCAAGCAATACTATGACGCATTAATTACGTGCGTCATATTTACGTTGCGAAAAAGAGAATGCTTTCTTTTTATAGATGAGAAAAACGTCAGCAAGAAAAAGTTACTCACTCCCTTGCAACAATATAAACGCGAGAAAGTCGAACATTGATCAAGCAAAAAGCAACTAACTATGAGTTGTGAAACTTATAGCAATATGCCTGTGGTGCAAAAGAATTTTAAAAGGGTTATAAGTGAAAAATAGATCATGTCCACACTTAGACTCACACCCAAAGTCATTTTTTGTCTAATTCTGATAAAATTCAAGCCATAATCGTATCACATGATTACTTGTCATAGGAACATTCTATTAGAAAGCCAATGTAGCGTTGAAAAATTTTGTCAACAATGAGTTTTTCATTTATTTAGCTGTTTGAAGGGATACAATCGATTGTTCAGAAGACATTTCACCTGGAAATCAGTCGTGCAGTTTGCTGACAGATTTTGGTGGATACTTACTTCATCAAGACATTATTCAAATAAACCATATTGAATTAAAATAACAGCTTTTACTGTATTGTTTTCTTAACATGTCACAAAAAAAATCAATCATAACAAGCTTACAGCGAGCTTGTGTTTCATCATTCATTCAATAGATAAAACACAAACTGAAAGTAACAAGTAAGCGTTCAACATTATTATTAAACGCAATATGATTTCTACTCGAGAGATAGATTCAGTTTAAGGATTTGTCTATGACATATGAATGGTACTTTTCCTCGGTTTGTCTTATCCATCCAAATATAGGTTTCATTATTTTTTATAATAAAACAATTTGTGAATGGAAATAAACTAGTTGTTGAGGTATTATCAACTTTAAATGAGGCATAACGCCAAAACAATATTGTTCACACGTATCAAAAGTAATACTCGCTTAGTCTGAAATAAAAACATTCTATTGTTGTTGTGTTTAACGCTGAAAGAGATCAACACTCACTATGAGTTCAAATGAAAACGACCTCCTTTTGTCTACCGCTAAAGCATTAATAAATTTGAAGCAGTATTCAATAGTCAATTGCTTTTCGCTTTTCGAATTCGCAACAGATTTTATTGCGTAGATGCTTATTATATATCGGTATAACGGAGTCCTCTCTGCTTGGAGAGGATAAGTCGTTGAGCTCATCACGAGTTTCAAATGAACTATTTCAGTTTAGATTTTCATAAGAGTAGGAGAAAAAAAGTACCCTGCTGTCTAGAAAACCCAGGCCACGCCAGAGGGTATTGGTGTGGCGTGTGTGTTTCTTTTTACCATCATCCACACTCGATCTACACCCACACTCTCATAAAATAATTATGTATCTTAGAAACTCGGAGGTAGTTTATCAATAAACATTTGCATAGCCTCACAATCATCAATCGTCATACGTTTTACAAATTCATCTAATACAAATAATTCAAAACGATTTGAAGCTCTCGATTTTGATAGAAGTGATCTTTTTGCGTCGGTTATTGCTCTCTCGCAGCATGTCTATACATGATAGTTGAGCACGATTAAGAGATTTTCTAATAGAATGAATTATTTTACCAATGGATGTTCTCAGAGTGGGCTCAACAGACCAAGCACGTTGAATAGGATCTTTCAGAAATTCAGGTATATCATCAGGTCAACTGTTTGGACGTTCGCCACGCATTGTAAACCTCCCCAAGATTTGTGTCAATTTCAAACCAGTAAAAGCACGTTTTGCTGTTAAGAGTTCATAAAGCGTAAATGCTAAAGAATAAATATCTGAAGCTACAGATGGTGCTTTATTATCAATGACGACTTCTGGTGCATCATAACCGATAGTACCACCTGATTCTTTAACGAACGTAGCCGATGCGATTGCCAATTGAAAGCTAACTCCAAAATCAACTATTTTTGGTATATAACTACCAGCAGGAGATTGAGAAAGGAGAACATTTTCTGGTTTGAAGTCACGATGAACAAGTCGAGCTAAGTGAAGTTCGGCAAGACCTTTAGCAATACCCAATGCAATTTCTAAACGTTCTCGAATAGATAAATTACGAATAATTGTTGAGTTATCAGCGAGAGCTGCAGCAAGTGATTGCCCATTGATATATTCCATGACAATGCCAATGCCGAATTGTGGTATGCGAATACCACCATAGACAGCTACTGAATCAGGCATATGTGATAAAGGACGAGACACAGCTATTTCATGAATTAGTGCTTCTTCTGTCTCAGTTGTATTTGGAATCAAAGCACATTTTACAGCGTAAATATCTTTGACACGAAAAACTTAACCCATGGCACCATACGCAATCGGTTGTTGATTCGATCCAACAGCGACTTCCTTTGCAAGATCAGATGGAAAGCAATAGTTTTCTAGTTTTTTTTGCTTCTTCAATAGCATTAACTGTAGATTGTGACAGAGAAATATTGCTGGCAAGTTATCCATTGCAAAGAGGGCATAAAGAAAGCTTTTACAACAATCGTAGCAAACGATATGCTTGCCACTTACTGAGCATATTGTCAAGGGTATCCTAAAATAAACAAAATGACTTACAGAATAAACCTTTTTATTAAATATTTTAACATTTTATTCGTCTGAAAAGACGAATTCTTAACTAAATAAAATTCTTCTGAGAATCAATCTGAGCAAACTTTTATAGTTGATAATGTCTAAAGTCGTTTAGTAGAAATTAAAATTATCATGAAAATGAATTACATAATATCATCTTGAAAGAAAATATTCTATATAACAGTTTAAAAAGATACGTTTATTAGTCAATGGTTAAAATCAATCGTAAACACATCTCTTCATAAGAAGCCATTTTAGAAGTTTCAAGTATTGTTTTAATCTACAAGTTTAAAACCTCCATTAGATTAAATCGCGTGTCAACTATTCTATATTAGTATGTCGAAAGTTATTGAGCATAACATATAATGATTATAAAACTAGTTATCTATTGAGATTTTCTTAGATAATGACTTAAAAATGAAAACTGATCACTTCATCGTACTGCTAAGCGCGGCACATAAAAAAAAAATCTTTGAGAACTTCTTAGTTATTTCCAGTCTATTATCAACGTTCATCACAAGCATATGTATTTGATTTCGTTCTATCTAAGTCTATTTGGCAATCAGGTGGAAATAGTTTTTCTTTCTTCAATATTTGAATATCAGTGAATTATGATGAATCATTTTGAATTTTATACATGAAACATTTCTATAGAATGAACTCCAGTCAATAGGTGTGTGACATACATTGGTAGTATATTTCAACTTACTAATACACTTTCAAGGATAACTTAAACATTTTTTTGGAGAACAGTAAACTATGGAATCGTAGCCTTTTACTATTGAAGTTGATTTTCTCTACAATGACTATTTTATAGAAATCAAACATTTTTTTAAAGATTTAGAATGCCAATGAAAATTCTACGAAGCGATATCACTAGCTCTAGAATGGCTACAACATTTATTGGCCTTTCAAACAATATCTTAAAATTTTTTCTAAGTTATAGATCACTATTTACACGATTTTGTTTTTAGATTTTTCAAGTTTAAATATATAATATGTATCACTCGATAAATCCATATGAATTCCATACTTAAGATAAATTCAATGGATTTAGAAAAGAAAATTGCTGGTAACGTCTCACCTATTAGGCATATCTGATGTAGGTTGAACATTAGTGAATCGACAAAAACAGATTGGACATCGTGTCTCATGTAAAAAAAAAGTAATCCAGTCAACGTTGACTGGACTGTCCAATTTCGAATTATCAGCAGATGTAGGATTATAAGCAGCTTCATAATTGATTGCGTCATGGGTCCGTTTTATCATATCCGCCTTACGATATTTACTAGTTGTCAATGCATTGAATTTTAATAATCGATTTTGTCACACAAACACTGATTACTCTTGATTTTTAGAAATCAGATAACAAAAATATGCTCCATTTACTTATTGCAAACCTACATCTTTTAAGTGTCACAAATGATCAATCGTTCGTTAAATAAATGTTCTTAGGACATCTATTCAAAACAATGTGCTATACTACAAACAATGACGATTCGTTATTATTGTTGAAAAGCAACGATCATGAATCTGCATTTTTTATATTCACAACATTCAATAATTGTAATTCGTTGACATAAAAACGCCATAGTTTATTTAGATGAAATTGATTAGAAAAAAAATGAATTCAAAGAAGGATCATGCTTTAGATACTGATCTTGAATCGGATCATTGAGAACGAGACTATAACAGTAATCAGTTAACCGACTGACAGTCAAAAATATGCATCCTGTATCAGGAGTTTGAATTGTTTCGAGCTTGATCTAGATCGTTTTCAGATGAAAAATATTATTACAACCGTTTCATCTCACTAAGTTGCATCAGCTTATCGCATAGTTTAGTCAATTCTTCAAGTGCCTTACATTCTCTGGTGAATATGTGATTTAAACTTGCTGGTCTTCTTCGAACTAAAATTGGACAATGTTCAAGAATACGTAATAAAATTGAATGAAAAAATGATTGGGAAATGTCATTTATGGTTTCCAAGTTATAAGCTTCGTATTATTCGATGATGCGAAGACTGATAGACTGCTGGATACTATTTAGGACACCGTAGCTTCCTCCATTTGATGTTGTAGTTTTTCGAATACCATACGACAAATCAAAAGACGAAATTGATAATACCAGGCGAATTCAACGCAATTATTCTATTAGATGAACTGTAAAGCTTGATATTCGCAGCCTCTGGTAAAGAAAATAACTAACTATCCAATTGAGAGATGACAAATATCTTACATCCTATACATATGTTTTCGTACTGGTTTAATTTTTCAATTTGTAGTATCGTGAAAGTGTTGTTTTTGTCATCACAGCGCATCGCTGTTAGGCAAGATGTGTTCAATCGTCACTGTCTTTCTCGTAAACAAATATCAAGAGAAAAGTTGTTGTCATCGGATTTAACGATATCGAACCGGTTTTGACACTTGTTCGTAGTGTTTGTCGAACGACATTAGAGCTGTGTTATATGGAATAAAACGAAGATTATGCTTAAACAGACCAAGCAATTAAATATCGTTGTATTCTTTCTTTCTTTTTGAAGGCATACGTGAATATGATTTGAGAAGAAGAATTTGTTGATCGATGTCATCAAATTCAGACGATGTGACCATGATTTAACGATCGATGAAGTTCAATGGAATCAAAGCTGGATCTTACTTCTCATTGAATCATCGTCAATTTAATAGCAAGAATGTTCTTCATTTATTAGAAGCTCATCAATATTCCCAATACTATTCTTTATTTTTTTGTGTTCGCAAGTAAACACTTATGGATGATTAGTTTACCCTTTGGCAACATGATGAATAATCATCCTAGAATATATGTTGATGGTATTACTAATGAATTGCAAGAGAGACCAACTCGAAAAATATATAATATCAGTCTTCTAGGCAAACATTTGCTAATAAATAGGACGGCTTGTTAAACTATCTGTGTACTGCTATTGCCACCATCCGTCATATGAAGATGTTTCGAATTTTATTATTCTTGTTTCTTTTACATGTTGTCATTTCTCAAACTCCTAAACGTCAATATTTCATTGTGGCTGACTTTTTCCGTGTAATTAAAGCAAGGGAATATTCCGTATACGATCAAACTGGCAAAAATCTTCAATATAGAATCGAATCAAAGTATCATATTCTGCAATCACTTGAATTAGTTACTTATCCAACAAAGAAAGTTATTGGCAAACTTCAAGCTAATCTAAGACTACTAGTATATGAAGGAAATATGGAAATATTTGATAATCGCACTCAACAGTGGTTAAAAGGTGTCATTAATCAAAATTTTCAATTACTTGGACATCATTGGACAATAAAATGGAATAATTATTGGTTGTCGATGGAAACTGATCCCATATCACTGACTACATGTATTTTCGACGAACAACACAATCGAACTCTCTTGGCCAAATTTCGAATGAGAGTGCAATCATTCTTTTGGGTTAACAAATACGATATGGAAGTCTATTCAAATGTGATACCCGATGGTGTTTATCTACTAAGTTTAGCTGCTAGAGATTATGCTTTGCGAGCAAAAAAGAGTGGATAAGAACAATAAAACAAGAACAATCATTGAACGCATTCATTTATTCACTTTTTAAACGACTTCCTTTTTAAAATCTATTTATTTTATGTTAATTATATTCGACTATCTTTGTTTAATTATTTGTATTTGATTCATATTTCAATTGATAATCGTTGCTAATGTCATACGTTAAACTTCTTTTTTTGAAATATATATTCCAGGTCAATCATGCTCAAGTGTACAAGGTCGTTTATAGCAGTCGTATACAATGCTTTACAGTCTATATTGATCATCGTAAACAACGACCATAAAAAATTGCCGTTGACAACTAGCATAACAATAAGGCGACTGTAAACGGTTTAATCAACGATCATTGTTTTCTCTCGTACATCAAGACAAAACAGCTGTTAACACTGGCGACCTGTTCTCATTGAATATAAATAATGTGTGCTCATGATCAGCAATAAACCTCACTATGTAACAATATTTGAGTGTGGGTGTGGATGCGGGTGTCGGCAGGTGCAAGTGAAGACAATACAACCAGATGTTGCTACTACCAAACCTATACCCTCCTAAAAATATCCTTCAAAATGAATGTTCGAAAAAAGGAAGAAGCCGTCAAAACCGGGCATTTTCGAATAACAGGGATAGGGAGTCAAACAAAAAACTGTTTTTGACGTGGTATTCTTACGATGATTCATTACGAACTGAGACGAATATATGTTGCAGTGAAACAAGTAAGCTATTCATACTAATATGTTAATTCTAATTTTTGTATTTCCTAATTAATCAAGGTTTCATGTGATTTTTCGCCACAGTTCTTGAATAGAAGTTTAAAATAATTTTGTATAATTAAAAAGGTTTTCAACAAAGAAGAACGAAGAAGATTATTCAAAAGACGGACCCACAGTACATCACACATAGGTGTTAGCTTTTTACAATGACTCGATATACAATTTGTGAAAACACTGCTGATTACAGTAGTTATCTCATGACCGTTATTAATATAAGGAGAGAAGGAGTAAAAGAACAAATAGGAAATAAAGAAAGTTTAGTCGATTTCGAGCATTTATATATAT